CCCGACTTTTTTCGGATTGAGCGGTATGAGGTCGTGCAAGGCCTCCGATACAGAACTACGCCTGTTGTTTTGGGTCGACTGCCGCCGTTAGCAACCGGGTTCGCTCGGGCATGTTCTGGGCTGATTTGTCTAGGGCTTGTTTCATTCGAAGCACACCATTGGTTGATAATTGTCCACGGTCTGTATTCAGTAGTACATGGATTTTATACTACACGGTACAATACAGGTACATATGCGCGAATTTGGAATCAATGTATGCCACTGGTGGTCGTACGGTGCATTTGGGCGCAGTAGATCACAGGCCGGCCCCGCTGCACTTTCCCTAGGTAGGCGTGCCACATTTGTCATGGCAGGGCTACCTCGCTGGCGGGTATGCATCACGAGCTTGAACCGGAGCTCGTGAGCTGTCGGACGCGGATAGCCAGACCGGGGGATGATGTAGAGACGAGGCGGCGAAGGAGCGGAAGTGTTCAAGTCGAAGTGTCGGGGAACGAGAGGGGAGAGTTATACTAGGATGTTTCAGCATGCACGTACGCCGTTGCGAGGCATGAAACCAATTCTCACCTCGAACAGCTGCGCGCACCAGGCAGATCTCGGAAGGATGAGCTGGAAAGGTAAGTGTCGCCTCTGTGGTGGAAGTCTTCACATACTTATAGTGCAGGTGCATACGACGGGACACTTAAATGACACATACCTCCAAGGGTGTTGCATATACGTGATATAGCTCACCTGGGTTGGTATTGCAGCAGCGACACCATGCACGACATCAGCAAAAGTGCAGAAATATTCTAAAGGAATGCACCGATTGCCTGGAGCGCTCGTTTGTGCACGGGCGCTCAATATAGGCCCGTAGATTGTCCGAGCGTGCCATGCTCACGATGCGTCGCAATGTTTCTGGCACATTGCCTCGCCGCGCGATCTGGACTGTTGTAGGCATCCTAGGGTAGTCATGTATGATACGTTCGTGATAAAGACCAAAAATGCAGCCGCAAAGAAAGACCCTGGGTGCTTAACATACCAGAGCGCGCGCGCGTCGTGCATTGCAATGCTAAAGAACTACAGAGGTGCGAAACCCGCTTGGGCGAGTTCAAGCTCGTCGTCACCCAGCCCAACCTCCCCATCCTCTGGTCCAAAGTCAAGGTCGTCATCCTCTTCCGTATCTGCATCGTCCTCCTCATTGTCCTCCTCATTGTCCTCCTCATCCCCCTCGCTGTTGACCATGTGCTCCCCGTCTTGTTGTTCGTCCCCGTCCAATTCCATGAGCTGTTCGCCTTCATTGTATCCCATCTCGTCGGCTTCGTATTCGTCTTCAGCGTACCAATTTCCTGCCAGCGGCGTGATTTCCTCCGGCACCGCAGGAGGTGGGTGCCGTCTACCAGGTTCACCACGCTGATGGCCAACGGCGCCCCCATGGTAACGCATGAACATGTCACGATCTGCGAAGCTGTAGTCACAAATAAGTACACGTCAATATGTAGGCCATGGACAATGTACTTACATCCCTACATAATGATAATCCCAATCGACATCCTCTTCCTCTTCCTGTCGCGCAATGCTGTAGCCAGGGAGCGCAGAATCCGACTGGCCATGGGCGAAGGCGGGCATCAGGTGCGCACCGCGCAAGACCTGATCCGGGGACACGAAGCCGAATGCGTCGTCGTCCAGAGCTGCCCATTTGAGGCGGGGGAGGCGCCGTGCCTTGAAACCACCTGGAGCTTGAGAGTCAATATCAAACCACCTTACCCACAGCACGTGGACGCTCTGCATGTCAGTGTCATCCACACCGTCCAGATCGTCCCCTGCGCAGAAGGCCTCTACATGAAATATTCCTATAACCCATGCGTAAAGATACGGGTGTGCGGCTCCCTCCGGGGCCAGCATCATTATGTCGGGGTGAGTCCGGGGGTTCACAGAGTCTTGATCACGTCGCATGTCGTACGTCGTATAGTTGATGCGCAAGACCTTGTGCCGATACAGCTTGTTGTTCTCGATACGTATAGAGAAGATGTCGCGGTAGTCGGGGATATAATCCGGAGGCAGCGCTTCCCTGCGTGGCATTCGGTAGAACAGGTGCGCCTTGAGTTTCCATTCGAATTTCTGCAAGTTGTGAGCTACACATCCATAAGGGAACCCTCATGGATATTCATTGTCGTAAAGGCCACAGGTGACGGAATGGAAATCCGATGACGCTGGACCGAGGATGACATACCTCACACGCTGGGTCTCCCTCGTTCTCGTAGAGGAAATCGTCCAGTTTGATGGGATATCGTGTCTCGTCTGAGACGTGGTAGTGTCGGTCAGGCTGCGTAGGTGGGAGAGGCTGCGTATCCTGAAAACGGAGGTGAAGTCTCCTTCCGCGAGCAGCTCGAGTTTTCTTTGGCTTCCGTCGCTTGTGGTGTGGCTGGTGAGATTCGCCTTGCCCCTGCTTGATCTTGTTGATCAGGTCTGCACGACGGACTTCCAGAGCAATTTGTCGACCAAACGTGCGGTTCTTGTTTGTGCGCCGATAAAATTGCTTGACCCGCCGGTGCTCGAATTCGCCCTATATACATGGTGTCCGTTAGTATGTTACTCTACTTCATGGGTGAGGTCTCATACCGCCTGTGTTGATTTATTGTCAGTGGTCCCTGTCTCCGAGATGCCGCGGGCGTAATCACCAAGTCGGTGATACTTGTAGGTGTTGAGGACGGTGAACGCCTTGTACTTTGCAGATAGCGTCGCGGGTTGTGGATTCCGTCCCGACGCGGCCTTGCGGCGCTGTCGGGATTGCGTCTCGTTTGGCAGCTCTTGCGTGGCGAACTTACCACAGACATGACGCAAGAACGCCCGCATGGCTTGGCCAAGGGTGCTGGATGATGTGTCGAGGTCCGCGATTGTTGATTCCGAGTGCAGTTGCAGTTTTGCCAGAGCGTGCCATCGGGCAAGCTCGAAGAGCATGTCCAGTACGATAGAGTTGTATGGCTCTGGAAGGAGCCCCTCGAAACATGGAATTGCGCACTGTGGACTGTGTCAGACGAACAATGCGACAAAGACATTGACACTCGCCCGAAACGACTGACCTTCAGCATTTGCTCGAAATCACGGGCGGCCAGCTTCTTCATTCCCGTTGTGTTATCGCCAAATCGTCGGATGGTTGCACGACCAAATGTCGGAATCATGGAGAACCTGTGAAATGCGTTCATGAATATCGGCGTGCACGTCATTATGGCTGTATCGACAGGAGGCGACACCCGGTAGCTTCACCAACTACATCACATGGTGACTCCTGCACGGTGTCACCCGCACCACAGATTTCCCTCGGGGTTAAGCACTACTCACCGTTCGTCCAGTTTCTGAATTCCGTCGCGCCCTGCTGATATCAAAATACGGAGCAGGTGGGTGAACGTCCCCTTCCAAACACCAAGCTCGAACTCGTGCAAGAGATCGGGCACGAAAAGTTTGTAGAAGTTGTCTCCGAACCGCGCAAAGCGGCGTGAAAAGGCGGACTGTGCAAATACGGATCAGGATGACAGACAAGCGGGGAAAGGAATGACATACCCGGACGGGTGCCATGGAAAAGAAACCGAGCTTGGTCTTCTTGACACTGCTCCCGTCGGGCACAGTGCCGTCTTCGAAAATCCAGCGGCGGACCCGCGCAATCAGGTTCTGAAGGATGCCTGTGTCCTTGCGTCCATTCTTCATGCGGTCGGCCATATCCTTCTTCATCCCCATCCTCCAAAAATTGCTTTTGTCCGTCGTACAATCCGGGCAGGCACACCGCGCCAAGGGCTTGAGACATGCGACTAGACACCTGGGTGTTTGCGGAGGTCAGTTTTTTCTACGTTCGTGATGTGAACTTCTGCGTACATACTTCTCTGGGTAGTCTGCTAAGTACATAAATATCCACGGAAACACTCGACGCATAATACCGTCGCCACAGAGAACCACGACCCCGTGTTCGACAGCATGCATGAATTTTGCGTCGAACAGAAGGAGCCACACCTTCTGCATAAGGTCGTACTTCAGCCAGCGGATGATAGCCGCGGACGCAGGTACCCCGTACGTGTCCTCGTAGAAGCGAAGGAGATCGGCAGGCAGCTAGGGAGGCGATGTGTCAGCACATCATGTTGTCATGACCGAGGAGGAGGCCAGCAGCTCATGCCTATCCACGGCGAAACAATGAGATAGACATAGATGTGGGACGAGGACCTTCGCCTCCGCACAACCATCCGGAGGCATGGAAAATGGCATGGGACCCGTACCAAGTTGTAGACTCACCGATGGGATGTAGGCTAGATGGTGCGCGGCGAACATAGACGGTTTGAAGCGGAGGTACTTGGAAAGGTTCGCAAAGAACGCATAGATTGGCCAGAGCGATGCCGTTCCGAAGTTGGTGAGGTGGGTGGAGTCTGAGTACACCATGATTCCACCTACGACGTACTTGAGGTCTGCAGAGTCGTCGGGATTGCGAGGCCGCCGCTGGAGCTCCTCGTGCGCGCGGATCATTACGTCCGAGTTGTATACATCGGTGAAAAGGCGTTCCGGCTTCAAATGGGGATTATCGGGTGTGGCGCGATTGCGAAAGAGCTTGTGGGGGAACCAATGGAATCTACGTGCCGAACTGTCGCGAAATCCCGACAACACGACCTCCAGGAGATCGCGAATCCAGATTTTGTTCACCATGAAGGTGGGAGTGTGCTCCTCGTCCTCTTGCTGGACGCCAGGCTTGGGTAGGTGGAGGGGTACCGAGGCCTCCCGCCAGCCATCCTTGGCCGAGAACACGCCCCCAGTGAGCTTGTGTTCATCCAGTCGGTGTTGCTCGCGCTCCACGCTAAAACCTTGTAGGTCGTCCTTCTGGAACCGGTCGTCAAGGATTACGTTGTCCACCAGGCGCTGGAGTTCGCCTGCAGATTTTGTCATCGAGCCGGTATACTGCCATTCCATCATCTTGAATGTCGTCCAGTTGAGGAATGGCGCAATCGAATTGGCGGCCATGTCCTGGGCATGTGAGAGCCAGGTCCGCGCCGTGGAACCGAACCCACGAAAAGGGTCGCGTTCAGAGGGATCGGGAGGAGCACGGACGTGGGTGGACGCGTCGGCAAACGCATCAAGAGACAGACCCGCCTCGGGGTCGGTGCGGGGAAGGGAAGTGTATTGTCGGAACACGCCAAAACGATTGGGCAACGTGTTGATCGGCGGGGCACAAGGAGGAGGCTCGGACCCAGCTGAGGCGCGATCGACATCCTCCATGTCGTCCTCGGGACCATCCTCGACCGTGGCGCGTGGTCGAGGAGGCGAAGGGGGTGGTCTGGGGCTTGGAGGGTTAAAAGGCGGGGCAGGTACAGGTTGTCTGCCCATTGGTGCGACGACACCGGGCTTCAGACGGAAGTCGGGCAGACCTCGCAGGGAGGTTGGGAGAAGCTCCGCGAGCCTCGCCGGTATCCTGCGTTGGCGGCGACCTTCAGGAGCAGGGTCGAAAGTCACTGCAACGCTGGCCTCACGTTCGGCCTGCATGTTTAATTAGTATACATCGTGCATATGCCTGAAATACAAACGTACGGTGAGGGCGGCTTGCTTGGCCGCCAGTCTCTGTTTCTTCTGTGCGACACACTCACGCTTCTCCTCGAGCTTGTGTTGCCTGATGACCTCCTTAAGACGCGCCTTGTTGCTCCGTCGGTCGATGTTCTTCCGTAGGCCACTGTCGAAGAATTCGTGGGCATGCTTGCAGCCCTCGAGGTGAGTTCCGAGGTCGCTGAACGACTTGTTGCAGCTGTGACATGTTTCTTTGGGCATGAAGCAAACCAGAGAGAGGACTAAGAGGATCAGCCAGAGGATGTGCATAAAGGTGGATGGTGATGAGCATAGGCAACCGGCAAACCAACAACACTTGACAGGGAAGACACCAGTCGCGTCCATCAAGCGAGCGCGGTCACGTGACGAACGCGTCCAAGCTGTCAGCGCTTGTCCGACGTGTGTCGATGTCGTCATTGCCTGACACCCTTGACAGGTCTTGACCGTATCCTGTTCGTGGGTGCTATAAATCCGTCCTCTTTGACTCCAGTGTCCGGTATCCTTCTCTTCCCAAAACCGCCATCCCCGCCTCTAATTCTCATATAGGCTTAGACTCTCCAACGCAACATGCCCAAGAAAGCCGCTACGAAGCCGAAGGCCGACCAACCCAAGCGCAACCGCGCGACAGCCGTCAAGCCGCCACGCGGCGCTACCGCCCAGTAAGTATGGTGGATGCGCATATATGCGCATATAGGCTAATTTCATTGTTCTGCAGGTTCATTGCAGAGCTCCCGAACACCCTTTCGGGCCAGAAACGCAAGGCCGGTCCCTCGGACGATGTTCCACCCGCCAAAAAAGTCGTCTCCGGACAACGCGCAATCGACATTCCCGGAGCCCGTGTCCAGGCCGCAGACGCACCTGCGGACGATCCCAATCGTGGTGTGCCTGATCGCCACGCAGCTCGCGCGCTCATCTCGCGCTCAGGCGCCGCGCAACGTGGGCCCGCCTCTCTGCCTGTCAACGGTTGGTCTCAGCGTTGTTACGGGTCAAGTCAACGGTCATGACTTTTAGACGACGGATGACCGGTCACTGTGTGACCCGGTCATGACCGCCGGTCAAAAGTTAGCACGTGAGATCTCCGGCATGTCCGAGTGTGCGTCTGACGGCAGGCCATGGCTCTCGGATAGGCCAAACGCATCGTGGCCGCGAGGAGGTACAATAAGGGCTGATGAGACTATTGCATACTCATCCCTGTCCTTGAATTTAAATGACCTACTACCCCATAATACGCCATATCTGAGCTGCGAACCGACAAAGAGCTCGCCGACGGATAGATCAAAAATCAACTCATAGGGAACGGAACTCGACTTGGATATGAAGGCCGACGAGAGAACTAGCTGTATTTTCTAGCCAGCAAGAGGAGTCTGAGTCGGAGGAACAGTTGCCCAGCGGCCTACTGTTGGTTGCCACCGTGACAGCTGATCGTTCAGTACTTCGTTAGTCATGGCAACTGAGATGTTGTTGAGGGTCTGAATACAGCATTAGCCACGCTCGATTTACATTATCACTGGTGCTCGCTCCAAACGGAAGGTTCTGTAGACAGGCGAACGACGCTGGTCTGGAGGGACATCCGGTCAAGTTGACCAGGGTTGCATACGGGAAACCAGGTTCGTCATCGGTGCTCCCAGGCGGCGCCGTCTTGCTAGTGCATGGAGGTAGTCAGGGGGGTGAGGGAATAGCGAGTGCGGGAGGAAGCTGCACGCTCACAATATTATTTGTCCGGTAGAAGAGTCGAAAAA